TCTCCCAGTTTCAAACAACCTCAAATGATCAGCTAAAAAGCCAGACGTGCTAGTTAATTCATACATGTCCCAGAATGCCCCAGACTTCGAAGGACTCACTCTGCATCCAAAGAGCCTGGTTCCTCTGAAGGCAACAAACAAGGAACAGACCAAAACCATGTCTTATTGCTGTAGTCACACTGTCAAAAATTAGATTAATCTTTAATGATCCAAAATTGATATCGCAAATGTTCCAACAGACACACGGGAATTAAATATTAAGATATTTTCTCTGTCAGTTTTTGTGCTACTGTTTAGCTGTCAGTGGATAAATGAAAGAAAACATTAACATAAAATTGGCTTTTCGCAAATATGCTGGTGGTATAAATAGGATTTTTGTATTCTGGCCAATGCGGTGTCCCAGAAAACAACGAAATAACACAGGCAGCCAACCAGCAGGATCAGTGGCGGCAAAACACATTAAAATTACATTATGCAACTTTTTCTAAAACAAAAATATAGCCTTGGAATAATTGAAACGTGAAGCCACAAACACGTTTATTTTTATTTCCTTTTATTCCAATTCTTTGACCTTGGACAGAAGAAGAAAGTGTTCCTTATTCCACACCTGGACAAGAGCGGACATTACCTTGTTCCATTTTTTACAAGGTTTAGTCTCAGGGAAAAATACATTTTTGCTGAGTTATTTCTAAGCAATCACAAAGATGTTTTTTTTTCTTTAATGTAAGGCCAAAGAAAATACATGGTTTGAGAAATGTGCACACTGCGATACAACAGATATTTGCAGACTCTTGACAAACACCTGTCGATTTCGTCGAAAGTTTCGCCGAACCAAACAATGCATGATTTGTATAATTTGTTCATTAATTGGTTGCATTCATTTGAGCTCTTATTGTGGTGAAAAACTGTGCTGGTTACTATAGGAAGTCAGTTATTAATCCCCTTTTAGTTTAAAAGCATTTTTCTTGCTTTACAATCCCATATTCTAAAGACCCTTTCAACCCGACCACCCACTCAGTACACACACACATACACACAGACACACACATCTACACAAACCCACACACACATATTTGGTCACACCAGATAAAATAAAATACGTAAAACCATGGAAAGATATAGGGTTGGGTGCAGATTTTTCATACAGGTTTTTAGAAGTGGTGACGCTATTAAAACACTTATACCTGATGTTGGCCAGTTAAAAGGACTGGGCTTGTGGCTCTAATAATCACTGTCAAATAATCATCTGGGAATATTAACGGCTTATTAACCGAGCGCGAGGTCTGTATGGAGAAATATCAGACCTTGGCCTTAATGTACAGACCGAGCCGTAGCGAGGTCTGTGCAGAAAGGCCAAGGTCTGATATTTCTCTGTACAGACCGAGCAAGCAAGGTTAACAAATGTTTTATTATACGACTCTCGTCTGTGTCTTTACCAATGCTATTGAGATATTTGTGAAGTATGTTCATGTCCAACTTGGTTTTGTGTGATACGCGCTGCGGACAGATTGTCATGGTAACGGTCCGAGGAAAGATATCAAATGTGAAACGCGCTGTTCGGACCAATTGTCACGGTAGCGGTCCGAGATGGGAAAATATCAGACCGGTAATCAGCCAATCAGAGCGCGCGTACGGTCCAAGTCATATAATAAATTTGGATATTTTCCCAATGTGAATAATTATTTATTTATTCAAAAATAAAAATAAATCATATAGAATTTAACTTATTTGATTCTGTGACTGTTATGTTATATGTTATACAAAAAACTATTAAATTATTTCGAGTATGTCCAGAACAGAAAAGACATGTAATTAAAAATGATGCGTTATCCTCACGTCATCCCCGTATCGTTGACGGCACAGGGAAAGATTCCATGTGTGCTATTACCCCACATTTCATTACCGCCTCGCTTTCAGAACACGGCGATATATACGTTGAAGGACTCCAGTCAAGCTGCTGACACGGTAGAACATACGCACTTAAGATGAGGCTGGCGTCCAAGCCTCCAGCTCGTCATCTTGTCGACACTTTAGGAGCTGCGTATCAGAACGAAGACGGGGCCAGAGCAACAAGCGAAGAGGAGGAAGGAAAGCTGTGAAAGTGTAAACACCTTGGACAGGCTGCTGCTGAAGCACTCTCACAGCAGGTTAAAGGTAGCTTTCTGACAAATAGATAGCTTTACAATATATTCAAAATGGCTCTGATTATGGCATTGTCGTGCAGCCTCCAGCGTTGGCTTGGATGTGTGTTGCTAGGACAACCCTGAATGCAGTAATTTATAATGATATTCACATTGACGATAATAATACATTGAACTAGTGCTTCTTGGACACTCATTTGGTCCAAGTTTTTGTAGTGTATTGTTGTTGTACAGTTGGTTTCATCTGATGGCCAGTTTTGCTAAAGAAAATACAGGCTGGTTTTCATTAGCCCTGAATCACGGAGAATCTCACAAATAAGGCTCAATAGTTCCGTGATTGACAGATGTAAGTCCCGCCTGCTTCACATGAAGTGGGTGAATCTCAGCTTTACAAATTAAGTAAAATAAGTAAGTAGGTAGTAAGTAATCTTTTTTGCTATAGGGCACTTTACAGACAAAGGTTACCCAAAGCGCTTTACAATGTTCAGAGTTCAGATATTGTTCCATTCTCTCCACATGGTGATGACGGAAGCAAGACACCAAACACACTTGAGCATCAAAGACCCCATCCAACACCATCCATTCAATCACTTATCACATTCAGATCTATCTATGTTTTTGTAGTGGAAGGGGAAACCGGAGCACCTGGAGGAAACCTGCGCTGAGACAGAGAGAACATGCAAACTCCACACAAAAAGACCTGGAGGTGGAATCAATCCCAGGATCATATAGCTCTGAAACACAAATCTAAAACAAACGCTAAAAACTAAAATAAAAAGCTAAAGTAAGCAGTTAAGTGAAGCCAGTTTTGAACCGGTGGGTTTTAAGCAGTAATTTGAAGTTCTGAAGCGAGTCTGAGTTCCGGATGTGTTGTGAAATAGAGTTCCGGAGAGGGGGGGGGGGGGGCAGCTGCAGAAAAGGTTTCGGCACTTTGTTCTGATGGGAGAGAGGATGTTGGAGTTGCCAGATCTGAGGCATATAGGGAGAGACAGTGCTGATGGAGGAGGTCGATGAGATCTGAGGAGGCCCGGTTATGATGGAGGAACGGTTGAATGCGTTATTGGAGTTGTTTGCGAAAAGTGAGTTGTGTTTTTTTGATTAGAACCTCCTCTTCTGACTTTATATTAAATTGGAGAGTTCTGAATTTGCTGTTAACGGCCACACTGTAGATTTGTTGTCTCTGGTTTGACCCTGAGAGCTCTTTTTTGACCGCTATGCTGCAGGAAAAAGGTTTTTCTCTGATTGCAGGGTCTCTGGCCAAGCGCAAAAATGAATGGTCACATAAAATGGTAAACGGTCACCTTTTATATAGCATTTACCTTTCAAGGAACACAAAGCGGTTCACATAAAGGAACTCTTCACCCGTACACACACTTAACCCAGGGTACGATGACACTGGGGCAATGTGGGTTAAGTGTTTTGCCAAAGCACTCTCAGCAGCATTCACCATTAAGAGCCAACCTCCAGGTCAGTCGATCTGACCGCTCAGCTGATTATGGGCATGTAAGGGCCGGTGTGGCTGCAGGTTTTTGTTACAACCAGAGCAAGAACACAGCAGACTACACCCATATTCCCAACTCTTCCGGTCACCTGAGGAAATAGATAGTCCTCGCACTGTACTCCATTCATGGGAGCGGTCCCTCTCAACATTATCCTGGCCTTAGCCATCCGTACTCTCTGCTCAATCATCATTTCCCTGCATGTAACGTCTGAGTCTGGTCCCTGGGTTAGCGATTACAATCGGTTGAATTTTGACCGACCTACCAGCGAGCGCGGAAGGAGAGGGTTGAATGTAGTTGTGGGTGACGTCAAGAGTTTGTGTTGAACGGGAAGGTCGTAGTTTGGCAATGGCAAAAAATGCGATAGTAAAGTAATCCGGTCTGGTTCTATCAAGAAATTGAAGCCGGAGCAATAGTAATGTTTAGCAAATGTAATCGCTAGAAAAAATTGTGGCGCTACTCCCCACGGGCTCTGTTAGCGGCAAAGGAGATGGCTAGGCTAAATGCTAACGACTCACTCGGGCGCATTACAAACGTCACGGTAAACTTAAATCCAATTGTTTCAATCTGCAAAAGGAGTTAACCCCTCCCACCTGTAAACGGAGCTCAATGGAGCGCCTCCAGACCTTAGTATGAAATGTAATTTGTACTATGGTGTGGCACGAGCAGGCTATCTCAACATGGTTGTCCCAGAGATTTCTCACTTTTTTCCAGTTCTCCCTTGCAGATGCCGAAGGGTCTAAGGACAGTGATGATCCTGGACGTCCAATGACATTTATTAAAATGTATTGACCAATGGCTCCCATGAGTTTCTTATTATTAAATTTCCTTTGTTCAAACAATTTGACTCCCAGACGACTGCTGTTGTGATTTAGGGCTATACAAAACTAAATTGAATTGAATTGAACCAACCGAGATACTGCCATCCAGAATAAATGCTTGAATTTTCACCAAAAATAGAATCTAGTAAACTCATCTTTCTTGTAGTCAAAATAGAGTAAGCTTTCACTATCAGCAATGAATTGGTTTTACTGTTGGTTTTCTTACAACCAGTGTTTTTTGTTTTCTGTAGTATATGATTTACACTTTTTTCATTGTGTGCTTGAAATAAACTCAAACTTTGTGGGGCTCTATTCTGCAATGGCTGTGTCCTTCCTCCATCCGATTATACAGTGAGAAGGTGTACACTTGTGCCCTTCGTAAAGCTGATTTTTACAACACGCCGTCTCCCACACGCTCTTTGAGAATCAGGAGAGTGACGGCCTCCGCGGTGGCACCATAATGGGGCGTAATCAATGTCTCCTTCCTGATTGGACAGCTCCTCAGGCTCAGGGTTGTTTGTTGCTCTTGTTTCCCGCAGGCAACAGACCCGGACTTGGGCGAGAGCGGTCAGGTCCATTATCGCCTCGTCAACCACCAGAGCCTGTTTTCCATCAACGCCACGGGAGCCATCACCACGGCAGCGCCACTGGACAGAGAGGTAATGAGCTTATCAATTACACGACCAGATAAAGCCGCCACAGCCTCATGCAGGTGTGTGGGGTCCGAGGAAGGCCATGGAAACTATTAGCGAGAGTTTGTTAAAGAGCCTGCTGTATTGGGCAGGTTCTTTAACAACCTGCCCAATTGTTGTTGGGCCTGTCTGCCGTAGGGTTGTCACAGTGTGAACATTTTAGCTTACGGTAATTCAAGTTTTAACCATCTTATCACTATTTTTATTTTTCTCAATGAGTTGGGGGACACCTGCCTCTGTATGATGTGAATATAAGAATGTAAAATGTGTTATAAATTGTGTAAAAATCCCTTCTAGTGACTGACATTGTAAATTTACCCTGGCTATAAATGTAGTGTTTCACATGTTGATTGTGTACACTTGTCCCTATCAAATAAGTAAATCCATGAATACAATAATACAGTAGCTTAGTTGGTAGAGCATTGGCCTTTAGGCTGGAAGGTCGTAGGTTCGAGCCCACCACAAGACCTTATCCACCGACTTGTGTCTTTGGGCAAGACACTTAACCCACTTTGTCTATAAGGAGCGCGGAAGTGATGTTTGCTGCTTGCCTTGATATGTATACACTGTATGTATATGTACATGTATATATGTACAGTGCCTTGCGAAAGTATTCGCCCCCCTTGAACCTTTCAACATTTTGCTACATTTCAGGCTTCAAACATAAAGATATAAAATTTAAATTTTTTGTCATGAATCATCAACAAGTGGGACACAATCGTGAAGTAGAACGAAATTTATTGGATAATTTAAACTTTTTTAACAAATAGAAAACTGAAAAGTTGGGCGTGCAATATTATTTGGCCCCTTTACTTTCAGTGCAGCAAACTCACTCCAGAAGTTCAGTGAGGATCTTTGAATGATCCAATGTTGTCCTAAATGACTGATGATGATAAATAGAATGCACCTGTGTGTAATCAAGTCTCCGTATAAATGCACCTGCTCTTTGATAGTCTCAGGGTTCTGTTTAAAGCACAGAGAGAACCATGAAGACAAAGGAACACACCAGGCAGGTCCGAGATACTGTTGTGGAGAAGTTTAAAGCCGGATTTGGATACAAAAAGATTTCCCAAGCTTTAAACATCTCAAGGAGCACTGTGCAAGCAATTATATTGAAATGGAAGGAGTATCAGACCACTGCAAATCCACCAAGACCCGGCCGTCCCTCCAAACTTTCATCTCAAACAAGGAGAAGACTGATCAGAGATGCAGACAAGAGGCCCATGATCACTCTGGATGAACCGCAGATAACTACAGCTGAGGTGGGAGAGTCTGTCCATAGGACAACAGTCAGTCGTGCGCTGCACAAATCTGGCCTTTATGGAAGAGTGGCAAGAAGAAAGCCATTTCTCAAAGATATCCATAAAAAGTCTTGTTTAAAGTTTGCCACAAGCCACCTGGGAGACATACCAAACATGTGGAAGAAGGTGCTCTGGTCAGATGAAACCAAAATCAAACTTTTGGCCACAATGCAAAACTATATGTTTGGCGTAAAAGCAACACAGCTCATTTCCCTGAACACACCATCCCCACTGTCAAACATGGTGGTGGCAGCATCATGGTTTGGGCCTGCTTTTCTTCAGCAGGGACAGGGAAGATGGCTAAAATTGATGGGAAGATGGATGGAGCCAAATACGGGACCATTCTGGAAGAAAACCTGTTGGAGTCTGCAAAAGACCTGAGACTGGGACGGAGATTTATCTTCCAACAGGACAATGATCCAAAACATAAAGCCAAATCTACAATGGAATGGTTCACAAATAGACGTATCCAGGTGTTAGAATGGCCAATTCACTTTGGAAAGACCCAAGAGGGAAAATGCAGTTAGAAGTTTATTGATTGAGCATGTTTGGCGCCCCAGGCCCGGGAGAGATGCTGTTGAGCGCGGCGCTTGATCGCGCGCATAATCCCCAAAAACGGGCAGGGTTATCTTTGAGCGCCGGGACGTGAGCGCTCGCATCACGATCAACCGGACGCTGCAGCTAGTTATCTTTGAGCGCTGGGACGTGAGCGCTCGCATCACAATCAACCAGACGCTGCGGCAGAGTTATCTTTGCGTGCCGGGACGTGAGCGCTCGCATCACGATCAACCGGACGCTGCAGCTAGTTATCTTTGAGCGCTGGGACGTGAGCGCTCGCATCACGATCAACCGGACGCTGCAGCTAGTTATCTTTGAGCGCTGGGACGTGAGCGCTCGCATCACGATCAACCGGACGCTGCAGCAGAGTTGTCTTTGAGCGCCGGGACGTGAGCGCTCGCATCACGATCAACCGGACGCTGCCTGGGACGTGAGCGCTCGCATCACGATCAACCAGACGCTGCAGCAGAGTTGTCTTTGAGCGCCGGGACGTGAGCGCTCGCATCACGATCAACCGGACGCTGCCTGGGACGTGAGCGCTCGCATCACGATCAACCGGACGCTGCGGCAGAGTTATCTTTGAGCGCCGGGACGTGAGCGCTCGCATCACGATCAACCGGACGCTGCAACAGAGTTATCTTTGAAAAAGTGCGTGCCGCCACCAGAATCTTATTGGTTCACTTACTTTGCTTTGTATTGCTTTGCTGGGAGCTTACGAGGAAGCCAGTAGCCGTTGTGCAGCCAGGATGGCGGACGCGTCTGGCCTGATGTAGGCGGAGAAGGCCGAAGAGGACCAGCGCCCCAGCTGTTGCAGAGAGGTGTGGGGGAGCCCCAGCGAGGCCGCGCGCGTGGCAGCGCCTATCCGGAAAGAGTGGGCTGTGTAGAGCTGGGGAGACAATTTACAGAGGAGCAGTAGGGATCTTAGTTGAGCTCTGAACCAGGTTGCTGTCATAGGAAGAATGTCTGGAGTGAGAAATAGAGGTCCGTTAAGATCTCCTTTTTTGCAGCGGAGGCGAGTGTAACGCATCATGGACCTGTAGGGGCTGAGAGATGTGTCGGAGCGAGCTATTATTATTATGTTGCAGGCGCCTTTGATCTTTGAATGTTTGAGATGAAGGTTGAAATGGTCAGGGGACATTATGTTGGGTGAAGAAGGCGACCTTTGTTTAACCCTTTAAGGATCACCTAATTTCACCTGCTCCTTCTCGAATTATGATACCCAAATGGAAATGCTTATTGTGTGGACATCTTGTGTCTGATTTTGTGTTATGATGCCTCATTTGAAAGGTAACACCTTTTAGTTTCTGAAAATGTATGTTACAGTTTGTTAGGAAGGACACAGTCTGCACTACAACTTCTCAAACATGAGTCAAAGTTAGTTTTTTTTGTCAAAAAAAAAGATGGCAATTTCAAAAGGTTCTCCTGAAGACATACTTTATGGTATGATGTTCAAACTCACCAGAGCAGATGTTTGTGGTGTTGGAAATACCTATATGAAATTTTAGACCTTTAGGTGGAACTATTTTGATGCTGGGGGCTTTTTTGTAACTAATGGGCACATTCAGCACAAGTGGTCCATTTTTGTGCCAACTGTGCCAAAGTGTTTTACATGCAAATTATCAATGTTTTTACACCAAAAATCCATTTATATAATTTTTTGGCTATTACTCTTGCTATAAATAGCATTTTTTCCAGATATTGAAATGTTTGCAGAAAAGCTATTATTTATATAGTTATAGCGCGTGTTCTCCGTGAAAAAGGCTCCGTCTTCCTCTTTACGCATTCAAATATGACGGGAACAGTGGGAGGAAGCTAGAAGTCCGACACATCGCCTGAAACCTGAGATTATTGGCTACAAGATGATTTGATTGACATCCAAATCGGCCAATGGTAGTCAAAAGACAATGCTGTCATGACGCACAGATATCTATGTGAATGGAGCGCTAAAGCTAGGTGCGCTTGTTTTACTCAACTTACTCTACCTTCCAAACCATAGCACTGAAAAGTCCGGGAATGGGCTTGTTTTGAAGGGGAGGCTTAGGGGAAGACGAACATACCCAGTGACGCTAGCTAAACAGTAAAATGTCCTCTTCATACAGTGCGCAAAGAACAGGTTTTGTTTTTGTTTGTGCAACTTTCAATACTCAAATATGTTGTTGCAAGTGGATATCTACTATAAGGATGACTTTGAAGAAAAAACAACGGGATATAATTATTCTCTAGACCCTAACGAACAAAACGAATGCACACATGTGTGGATTAGACGTGATTTGCCCCAGAATATTAGCATGACAAGGTAAGAAAGGACAATATATATTTTAAATATATATACAGTTTGACTACTTATTCTTACTTTTGGTGATATTTAATGTTTATTTGAACATAATACTTGTATAGAGGTGGGATTAAGCTTTCAAAAGAGATATAGCTTGACTATATTGACACAAGTGAATTCTAATACTCATGCTGTTAAATGAAAAATAACTGAATCCTCCCTGTACAGGGAGGGTGATCCTTAAAAGGTTAATGCTTCCACTACGTCGAGATTATCACACATGACAGAGATCCTCTTTCTCTGCCACGTGTGATTCCACAGCGCGCAGGCCACGACCGCTGGGAATATTTCGTGTAGGGCAGAGGAGATGCTCCGGTGGAAGTAGCGGCTACGGCCCGGCAAACCACGGGTCCTGGAAGAACCCCCCAAAACCCACGGAAGGGGCAGCATCCGTGTAGAAGCGGAGACCTGTAGGGGCAGAGACATATCGGAGAGGGCCATTGATGTTGCAGGCGCCCTTACGCTTAGGATCTTGGGTTGGAGAGTAGATAATCAGGATAGGAGGATGGTCGGGAAAGCCGTGTCTCGGACCGCATGAAGGTTGAGTGAGCAGTAGTGAACTCGCTTATGCAGAGAAGCCACAGAAGGCGAGCAGGAAGATGCTGCGAGGAGGGCAGACATGTACTTGGAAGATGAGCCGGAGTTCAGTGCCGCTGCAGGATGGGCAGCATGATGGGGAGCCTGCGATCAGAAGAGTGAAGAATACAGGTATGGATGCCCTTGATTAGGAGTCCGATTGACAGCTCAGCGCAGCTACTCGGCCAGCTGCATCTGATAGAATCAGAAGATTAAGTAGAGAGATGAAGCATGACCGCCGAAGCGACCCTGGGAGCATAGGTGCGAGTCCAGCGCAGCGCGGCATACTCAGCCGGGCTGCATCCATCAGAAGCAGAGTAAGCTTCTGAGAGAGTGGGTTGCAGCAGTAGCAGTAGCAGCAGCGGCAGCAGCAGTAACCTCAGATAATAACAGCAATAATCCTGTATCAAGCCGCGGCAGCAGCAGTAGCAGCAGCAGCAGCAGCAGCATCCTTAGAAAATAACAGTAATAATCCTGTATCAAGCCACAGCAGTAGAATGTTGTTGTAGCTGTTCAGTGTTTCAGTAAAAGAGATGCAAGTGAAGAGAGATGTCAAAGTAAATGAAGCAGCAGCAGCAGTAGCAGTTGTCAGTAGCAGTATGAAGCAGCAGCAGTAGCAGTATGAAGCAGCAGCAGCAGCAGTTGCAGCATCCGTAGATAATAACAGCAATAATCCTGTATCAAAGCCACAGCAGTAAAATATTGTTGTAGCTGTTTAGTGTTTCAGTAAAAGAGATGCGAAGTGAAGAGAGGTGTCAAAGTAAAAGAAGCAGCAGCAGCACGGCAGCAGTAGCAGTATGAAGCAGCAGCGGCAGCAGTAGCAGCAGTAGCGGCAGCAGTAGCAGCAGTAGCGGTAGCAGTATGAAGCAGCAGAAGCAGCATTAGCAGGAGCAGTAGCACCACAATGCGATTCATACGAATAAACAGACGTGTCACGCCAGCGTGCGCCGCTTGTCTCCGTGAGCCAGGTTACATACGTGTCTGAAAGAGCCGAGCCGTAGAGACAGGTGCAGCCTGGGAGCCAGCGGAGCGGCAGCGGCAGGAACAGCAGCAGCGGCACATGTAGTAGTAGGAGCAGCAGGAGCAGGCAGCAGGGACAGGCAGCAGCAGGAGCGGCAGCAGGAACAGGCAGCAGCAGGAGCGGCAGCAGGAGCGGCAGCGGGAACAGGCAGCAGCGGGATCAGGCATCAGTAGGAATGGCAGCAGGGACCGCAGCAGCGGCGGTCAGAGAACCATGCCCATGGTTGTTTAAGAGCCTGAGGAAATAAATCAACCCGAATCCAAAACATTCCCATGCGAATAACAGGTGTCCCCTGGAGCCATCTTGCTGCTTTGGTTATGGCAGATACGCATGAACGATCACTTTTCCATGCGTTCATTAGCTCCAACTCCACTTCAAACCCATTGCAGATTCACATTGGGCCCTTTTTCTTTCTGCTGCACTTTCAAAATGCAACAACTGCAGTTTAGTTACCCAATTTAATACTAGTGACCTAGCTATTTAAATGCATGGCCCCTCCTTCCTCCTGCAGATAGACGAATTTAAATACATTCATTTAACAATAGTGACCTGCGAGTAATGAGATTAATGCTGTAAAGATGGCGCCGTGGCAAGAGCTCTGGTGTGTGCCGTCTGGAGCACGATGGGGTAGTCTTGCACATTTTTCCAACGTGGTTTTACTGCAAGTGGCAGAACATGAATCTGAATTAATGCACATTGCTCCTCTTATATCCCTCAGACAATAGAGATTGATGCCATTTAATATGCATTGCCCCTCAGTTAGCTCAAACACGTGTGAAAACGGAGCCTGCAGACCAAGCACGGGGCGAAAACTGACGCCTGCAGTCAAGTGCGCAGGGCAAAAACCAGCCGCCTGCAGCCCAGACTCGGGGAATAATCCGTCCGCGGTCAGCACACTCACATGCCAGGAGATTTGGGAAAGCAACGGGACAATGCGGCACCGCCAATCGGAGGCAGGGACACGCACGGCACCGCCAGACCGTCTGCGCGCGGCAGCAGACCACGAGCAGCACAGAGCCCGCGGAGGGGCCCCGCGGAGCAGCCCGCAGAAAGAGCCCGCAGAGGAGGAGAGCAGTGGAGACACCAGAAGCGACCCCTCCAGAACAACGCATGCATTTGCGAACAGGTGCGTTAGCGACATGCACCTTGCAGACTTCAGAAGCTTGCAGACTTCAGAAGGCCGGGAAGTGGGCGTCTCCGGCTTTTAACTTGCTGTCCTGGTGGTTATTGGTGGATTAGATGTGGGCGTTTTGCTGGTGTAATGAGTAGAGGATGAGCAGGCTTGTAGATCTGGCAGCAGCGGCCGGGTCTACCACAGTGAATTTTCGCGAAGAGCTCCATGTCAAAGTCCAGACCTGAATCCAATCGAGAATCTGTGGAAAGAGCTGAAGACTGCTGTTCACAAACGCTCTCCATCCAACCTCACTGAGCTCGAGCTGTTTTGCAAGGAGGAATGGGAAAGAATTCCAGTCTCTCGATGTGCAAAACTGATAGAGACATACCCCAAGCGACTTGCAGCTGTAATTGCAGCAAAAGGTGGCGCTACAAAGTATTAGCGCAAAGGGGCCGAATAATATTGCACACCCCACTTTTCAGTTTTTTATTTGTTAAAAAAGTTTTAATTATCCAATACATTTCATTCCACTTCACGATTGTGTCCCACTTGTTGTTCATTCTTGACAAAAAATTCAATTTTAAAATCTTTATGTTTGAAGCCTGAAATGTGGCGAAATATTGAAAGGTTCAAGGGGGCTGAATACTTTCGCAAGGCAATGTAGTATGAGTATTGAATGGAGTATAATTGCACTTGGTTCAAGGCTAAGTAACTTCTTTGTTAGCAGCAGTGATGAGGTATTTACAGATGGCTGGTATTGTCCTTTAGCAGCAGAGAATATGAGCAGAATAGAGTGTGAGAGGTTTTACAGACTCAAGATAATGTCAGCAGACTCTGAAGCGAGCGCAGTATCCCACAGAGATAACACCTATGTCACGGTAAATGTGCAGATCATTTATTCTATTACTGTAAATTCTTTAACCGCCAAAGTACTTGTAGCTTTGTGACGCAACCTTTTGTTCGTTTCACTTCACATTTCTGAATAAAATTGTGCCTGAACTGTAGGAAAGTGAACATTCATAACTCTGTAGAAAAAAAAAGAAGTCAATTTTGTATCATGCGTCAAGATCGGATGAGGACATAATTATCTTTGAAACTGTGAACGAAGGAGTCTAAATGCACAGAGCAAGATCGTTTTGTCCTTGGCTAAGAACCAACTTTGAAATGTGATTATATTTTAACTACCGGAAAAAGCTTGCTTTGGTGACTTATCATCAGACATTAAAGCATTGGTATGTAATTTTCAAATCACAATAAATCAGGCATATCAAACTCAGGCTAATGAGCCAAATCCAGCCCACAAGACAATTATGAAAACCCTTATTTTGATTTAAATTATTATTATTAATTTGCAGCATTTATGGTAATGGGCTAACAGTTGGCTTTGAGTTGCCTTTAATCATTATTATTAATTTGTGATTCTTTTTGTAGTTTTTTCATTATGAGAAAACTAAACCTCTGTTCCAGCCTGTTCTAGTATTTTTGTTCACACAAGAAAGGATCCCATTAATAAGCTTTGCAGAGCAGTTCGGGGAGTCAATTTTTCACAAAGATATGCTCAAAAAATGTAATATATTTTGTCATCCGTTTTGAGATGAAAAAAATAAATGAATGAGTTGCCATGTGAAGGATCTGTGCTCTACAAATAAACTTGCCTTGCCTAACAGTTTGCAAATTTCTCTATGACGCACACAGGAGAGGGGACAGTACTTCCTGATCGTGGAGGCCTCGGACAGCGCCGTGGACCCCCGCAGGTCGCGCCTCACCCTCTTCATCACGGTCCAGGACGTGGACGACAACAGCCCGGTCTTCACGCAGCAGCAGTACAACATCGAGCTGCCAGAGAACCGCCCCAAAGACACCGTCATCCTGGAGCTGAAGGTGAGCGAATGCAACGCCCCCCAAGGCTATGAGCCATACTGTGCATTATGCATGGATGTATTTATGGGAGCGCTTCAGGGGGAGATTTTTTTTAAGGCAATTTGTGAATTCCAACGAGTCGGCCGTGAATCTCAAGAGAGACGACATTTAAAGAGTGTTATTCTTTTGGAGGACTGGCATACATCGTAAATATCTGCTGGACTATGCTTTTGCTTACAGTGTGATCCATAACAGAGGGATGGCAGAATGTACTCTATGTACTTGACAAATTACATTCTATATATGGGATTCCATCTGGAGGGACTCAAACAGTCAAAACATGGGTATTATTAGAATTGTATTTTGGCTGGCAAGTAATCTGACACTACATAAATTACACATATGACTCTGAGGACAATATTATCAACATTACATTTATTGTTGCCGAACAGAAGTATGGTTAGAATTAGACCCTGACAGAGCACGGCATGGCAGAAGTGGTAAAAAATAATGAGCCTGGAATTATGGCCTGGAACGAGGGATGGGGAGGAGGAGGGTCGCGGCACGAATGAAGCTACTGCTTGGACGGAGCTTCCTTGATATGAAGTTTGATGCGGGGAAGTGAAGGACAGTGGGAGGACTTTGAGCGCCAGACTGAATTTCTGCTTTAGCGTCATTTGCATAACTGAGCTTAATAGTGACAGGGCCACTGTACTTCACCAGACTTGTCCAGGGGCCGGGAACATGTTTTGGGTTTAAATGGGGCCTGCTACTGTATGTCCATATTGATTCACACCGCAGCTACATAGTGTATTTTGTGACACAATAATAAACAAAAATCAGTATATTCAGATAAAGTTAACGACTGATTCCAAAAGTGTCTGAGCTTTACAGCGAGTTACTGCTGGATTTTATTGGTGGAGCTGAAGTTGGATGGATGACACTGTGAAAGTTAGTGATAGAGGGCCTCATTAAATGTCACAGTTTAGTTTGGACATATTTGGATAATGCTGCAGTACTGTGGAAGGTCAGCAGCTGGTTGTCTCCATAGAAATGAAATGACTTTATCTGAAAAATACAATGTCAAACAACAATATCCTAGAATTAGGAATAACACCAGGGGAGACTTACTTTCACATTGTATGATTTGCTTTTGCCAAAAGCTAAAGGGAGGAGTTGGCTGCTGATTGAGTGGAGATTGAAGTAGCTGAGGTTCAAATGTACTTTTTTGTCGTTTGGCCACAGTGAAAACAGTATTAGTGCAGCATCCAGAAACCCATCTCCAGATCCTTTTTTACCGTCTTAAACACCAGGTTGTGTTTCTGGTACATACTGGATCAGAACAGAACCATTTTAACCTGGATTTGAACATTGTCAGAGAAGAAGCCTGTGTTAGTTGTGAAAGCTACGGTAACTTATTTTTGGGTTCAATATAAAATAAATGTGTTTTTTTTTTTACAACTAATAGATTTGTGTAAAACATGTACAAGTTCACACAGAAGCCTTGCGCAGCCCAGTGGTCAAACCCGGAACCTCCTGAGGCCGAAATGCTCAGAAGGATTTTTGTGTCTTTACAGAAGAAGCTCATGGTATTTTCTGACAGCATCAGCCGGATGCAGGAAGGGCTGTCTTCAACCAAGTTATTTCTGTCAAAAATAAGAAAATGAAGGGCTTCAAATCTGTTCTCTGCCCAGCCGTCTCTCTGACTTGCCTGTAGGACTTAATTACTGCTGTTAATTTAAGCTCGGCTCATGAATTCATGTAGTCAAAGCCTCATGCCAGTGCACTGTTAATTGGTCAGACTTTTAACATTCCAGTCAGAGTTTGGAAAGTATCAAGACCAAAAAGTTCAGGCCAATGGGACGTGCCGGGACCAATTGAGTTACAAAAAGTACAATAGTTTCCTCCAGTTTGAAATGTGCAATTGTTACACAGTGAAAGTGGAACAGTGGGTGAGCGGATGGTAAAAGACTTGTACAACTGGCCAATTCACTGAGGACATCATGAAAATCCCCCAAACCTCGACTACCTCTGCAGCTACTGGCAAAACATACAATATTCACTTTGCCATGGAAAACATACCGCTCCGAAACTCTCTCTTTTTCTCTTTTCACCAAGGAAGAACAGAAGCATCCTTAGAATTGCAGTGTAAATCTAAAATCTAGAGCTCACATACAACAAGAACATTTAAGTATCGGGTCATCTCTTTTGTGGTGTGGTATTAATTATGGGCTTGAGAGCAAATTAGTGAAATAGAGACAGTATATGCCTACGCTGTAAATAGGTGCGTTTTGCAGCCTTAACCTTATTATGTTCAAACAGGACTTCAACTTAAAGTCAGAGTACCTAACTTCGAAACCACAACAAAATAGCAATGTATTATGATCCATGAAACTAGTTCTTGTCTCTCAAACCTGTTCTATCTCTAGTTCTCACATGAATGATTCTCCACTCAGCCAATCAGTGCTCAGTATGTATTTTTTCGAAGGTGTCTGATTTGTTCACAACGTTTAACTTTAATCTGTTACGAGAAAAATAAAATGTATGTATGTATTTATCTATGTGTGTGATTGTGTGTGTACGTGTATATGTAGGTATCTATGTATGCATGTGTATGTGTAAGTATGAAACAAAACAGTGAGGTTCTCCAGCTTTAATATTCCCCTCTTGTCTGGCCCCAGGCGATGGATGCAGACCAGGGCTCTAACCTCACGTACCGGATGCGGGTGGAGGGGTCGGACCGAGGCGTGGAGCAGCTGTTCAGAGTGGACCCTCACACCGGAGAGCTGACGGTCCTTCAGGAGCTGGACTTCGAGGAGCTCGCTGTGTCCACCTACTCCTTCATAGTGGAGGCTCTGGACTCCAGCGGGACCATGCCTCCTGGACTGGCCTCCGTCACTGTCACTATCATGGTGAGATCCTTGTCTGATACAGAGGCTATTATGCCATCCATGCATTTGTGGTTTTAATTCATTCACAGTGGGGGAAATGTAAGTGTTGCTTTAATAGTTACATTACAGTAGGAAAAAGGAGCCCACAACACACAAGACGACAAGTGAATATTAAGCAAATTACAAAATACTGAAAACTCTAGTGCAAGAAATATATACATCTAAATACTTTTGTAAATACATCTGTAATGCACTCTAATATACACAGGACATTAGGGTAGTAAGTAATTAGCTATTAATAAAAAAAACACACCATTAGCTTTGGCATTTGGCACATACTGGTTGCCTCGCTTCTGTCAGTGTGCCCCAGGGCAGCTGTGGCTACACTAGTAGTTTATCACCACCGTGTATGCAGTGAAGGAATAGCGACATGTGAGGCGTCTTTGCGTGTTCAAAAAGGGCTGCATAAAACCCATGTAGTATTATTAGATGGATAGATAGATCCCTGTAGGAGAAATTCAGGCGTCCAGTAGCAGCAAAAATAAAAAATAAAATTAATCATTCTAAAAAGCTATCAATAGTAATAATAAGCAACAGCCCTTCAGGTGACAGGAGCAGAGGTGGAGTCGCCTCTGGGTGGAGCAGGACGGGTCACAGCTGCAGGAAATGTTATTAGTATATTTTTTATTATTAGTATTATAATTATCTTTATTATAAGATGTTATTATCATGGATGGATCTAAAACCATCTCCACGTCTGTTATGTGGAACAATGTTGTAACATGGTTAAAAGATATTCTCAAGGTCCCCTTTAACATTTTCCCCACGCGGCGCAGAACAAGTAGTAATCTGGAGTTGAAAACTTAATCCAGGTGATTACTCTCGAATCACTCTTGGACCAATACGAGATTACACAACTCTCTTCTTGTGCTCTTTCTCCTCGTCCAGGACATGAACGACTTCTCCCCGGTTTTCAGTCAGGAGGTGTACCGAGGCATGGTGGCCCCCAACGCCCTCAAGGGGACCCTGGTTACCACGTTGATGGCCAACGACTCTGATCCCGTGGTGAGTTCTTGCCGCTCTGTCAAATCCCCTCACGCTGAGAGTGTGATTGGTGTACAAATGACACGTTCCGCCTTTTGAAATTGAGCCCTCTCTAATAGCGTTTTTCAGCCCTTTGAATTCCTGTCCGCTAATTCCTTGTGATTGTAATAAATTGCATCACTTCAGATTGTTCCATTGTGAGCCGTTTCCAGGACTGATGTCATTAACCAGACACTTAATAGGTTATAAAATCTTCATGGTGGGGTATGAACTCAATTCAACTTTCAATTTGCTGAGTCATTTGGCACTCAATTTTCTAAAATATGAAGCACAAAGAAAACATTGTATTGGAAATAATAATATAAGATACAAGATTCTTTATCTGTCCCACAGTGGGGAAATATCAAGGCTCAATGGGTCAGCCTTCCTGTGGTGCTGCATTTGTGTATTTGTGTATACATTTGCCAAACACCATGAAGAGAGACATGTTCTATGATATGGTATAGTATTGTATTTTATTTTACAGGGACAGCATACAATAAGACACTAAAGTGATAATTTACAAATATAGTCCAAAGCAGGTCGATGGATACTCGACCACACATTACACACATAATCAGAAAGAGATTACGTTTCATTTAACGTATTAGATATCATTAAACTACCTGTGAAACTTGTAACATCATCTAGTGCAAACAATTGTGTGTAAGTAAGTCATCTTTATTTATGAAGTGAGCTAAAACATGTCAGTCACAATTCAATCAGCAACCCTTTTTTGGAGAAACTTTTTATTGTAACAGACCAAAGGTTGAGGTGAAACACAAGATCTCCCTGGGAAGTCAATTAGATATTAATCTATATTTTTGCTCCTCCTAACTTTTCAACAGCCGGGACTGGGATTGGAGTGGTCTTGAACTGCTCTTAGGCTGCTCTTAGGCTGCTCTTAGGCTGCTCTTAGGCTGGTCTTGGACTGGTCTTGGACGAGTCTTGAACTGGTCTTGGACTGCTCTTAGGCTGGTCTTGGACTGGTCTTGGGCTGCTCTTAAGCTGGTCTTGGACTGCTCTTAGGCTGGTCTTGGACTGGTCTTGGGCTGCTCTTAAGCTGGTCTTGGACTGGTCTTGAACTGGTCTTGGACTAGTTGTGAACCAAGTCAGCTTCGTTTTCTAGCAGAGAAGTGACATAGTTGCCATAGTTACCGTAGCATCACATTGTTTACTTGCCAGTAGTAAGCATCTGTTACCTTTAAACTTTTTTTTCTGTTGTATTCACCTCCTTTAGCTCGAAGTAAAAGTGAGTAAAGGTAAAACCAAGCAACTAAATGACTTTTAATAATCTGGTGGAAAACTAAACATTTTTTGGAGGAATTTCTCAGGATTTCATTGTTTTTTGAAGGTCAGCAGTCAAAATGATGAATAGAGGAATACTAAAATCAATAACCTAATTAAATGAATGAAAGAAAACTATAGGGAAACGTTTGTACTACGCTCTGCCAAGTAAAACGCTCATCTCCTTTGGCACCCACTATACAAGAGTAGCAATGCTTCTAATGGGGAATCCTAATTCGGGATCTATATATGTTTACTGTGCTTTGAAACGGTTACATAAGTGGTTGGAGTAATAAAGTTCTGCTCATACGGTACAGACCTATGATTTGGCTTCACTGCTCCCTCGCAGGACAAAGTGACTCTCACATTTTAACTGTAGTTTTATACTGCATTTACACCAATCTTTGTGGGAAAACGCTTCAAGGGCAGTGCATTTTAGCTAATGTTGCTCTTCCTGCGGTAGACGGACTTGAACCTGAAAATCGCCCATTTGGCTTTTCTCTGTACTCACTCCGAAACATTACACCCTCTACAACCGGGCTATAAAAGCACTCCCAGAACTTAAAATGGCCGTCCGTGACACCTTTAATAGCGGCGAATAGATATATTTTCTTCTTGTAAATGCCATTTGTACCCTTCAGACCTCTGCCGTGCCACTATTTGAAGGAATTTGTCACTGTGGGGTTTTGCTGACTCACTAGAAGCAGTTACTTAATCAAGACGCTGACAGGAGTGAAGAGCTCTGTGTAGTTGCGTTTCTGCGAGATCACACAAATGAAAAATGCTAATAAACATTATAGCAAGTACAGAAACTAAGAGAGAGAGTGAATCTTTAGAGAGAGTGACGGCATTGGTGGAGTGTCCAGTTCCACAAAGACAAAACAGGTTTTATTGTTGTGTTTGACCAGGAGGCTGTTGTTCTTTTTAAGTAAGTAAGAATTATTTAAACAGTGCCTTTCACAGACCAAGGCCACAAAGCACTTCACTGTAAAAATAGATAAAATATTACTTGAAATACAATTTAAAATGTCCATCCATCCATCCATCTTCTTCCCCTTAATCCATATTTCTGGGTTGGGGGGGGTGGCAGTCAGAGCTGCACCCAGTACACGGAGCACCAGCCCCTCACTGATCCTACTGCAGGTGGCGAGTCCACAGGAGACAATTAATTTATCTCCTGTGGAATTTATTTATTATAATTTTAAAATGTGCGTACAAAAAAGTATTGGCCATGACAGCGCAGTGACGAGTTAAAACAGCCACAAGAAAATCAAGTAAAAGCTTTCCCAAATAAATAGGTTTTTAGATGACCTTTGAATGAGCCAACAGACTCCATCCACCGCAGCGAGGGCGAGAGATTGTTCCAGAGCTTGGGCACAACAGCCTGGAAGGACCAGTCTCCTCTGGTCCAGAAGCGGGTGCATAGGGCCATCAGCAAGTGGGGGCATGAATATTGTGCGCGTAAGAAACCGAGCTGCCGAGTTTTTTACTACCTGCGGACATTTTAATAACAAATAAAACTGTACAAGTAACAAAAGTTTACTTCCCCCACTTTTCAGTGCAGTGTAGTTCCCCTTTGACATCTATGACAACTTGTAGTTTCTGGTGGTAGTTGCGGACGTGGTTCTTTTATCTCCTCTGATGGTATTCTTCTTGGCAAAAATCCTCCATCCATACATAAATGTTCTTCCCCTTAATCCATTTCTGGGTTGGGGGGCTGGCAGTCAGAGCTGCAGCCAGTACACAGAGCATTGATTATTCAGCAGGGGCTTCAGGCAAAGTGGGGTTAAGTGTCTTGCCCAAGTACACAACGACAGCAGTCATCAGTGGGAGTCGTGAAGTAGGTCTTGTGGTGGGCTCGAACCCACAACCTTCAGGCTCTAAGGCCAATGCTCTACCCCGCAAAAATCCTCCAGTTTCTCTAAATCCCTGGGCCGACATAAACTGCATATTTTAGATTCTTCCAGATCATCAATGTTGACAATTTACGTCTTCACACAACCACATCATAGAAAACCAAATAGGGACAAAACAATAAAATAAAATATCCCACTATTTTTCCCACACTTTGGAGATCCTTAATATGGCTGTAAGCCATACTTTGCCAAATGTTGAGATCTAAAGGTCGAATGTGCAGTTAAACTAAGATGTTTGTGTTATCGGCCTGGAAAACCAAATATGGACAAACCACTGGCATCAATATCCCAGTTTTTTCCCACACTTTGGAAATCCTTTATGTGGGTGCAAGTGTTTTGTTTGGTTATGGATTGTCAGATCTGGACAAAACTATGAAATCTGCTATTTCATTTCTTTGTCCATACTTCAAATCAAAAGTGTAGTTCATACAAGGCGTCCAAAGAGAATGTTCAGCTTCCCATCAGAGAGGATGAAACATATTCTACTTTCGCAGATGTCTTAGATGTGATGATAATTTCCCGTTGTATAATTCCAGATTCACATCTATTGAGAGAGGCCTCAAACACCGAGTTAGCGTCAGGGTAATGTGAAACTTTTTCAAGGTTTAGCTCCTTCTTAAGAGCTAAACCCTTGACAATTGAACGTATATGGTCCCACCTTTAAATTCACCTTATACAGTTACACATTTGCTTTTCTCCGTCCTCAAGCACCTGAACGTGACATGGCTGCAGATCTACGTCACACTATTTGAAAGGATATCTGTGACAGGGTGGAGGAAAAGCAGACATTTAAGTGCAATAATTGTTTTATTTAATACGTTATTACAATTCAGTGTTTATCCAGAAGTGGAAATATAGTTCTATTGAGAGAGGCCTCAAACACCTAGTTAGCGTCAGGGTAATGTGAAACTTTTTCAAGGTTTAGCTCCTTCTTAAGAGCTAAACCCTTGACAATTGAAGGGTATCTTCCGAAGTTGGGCAGTGCTTTTGAGCTGGGCGACCTTTCTACTTCTGTACTGTCCGGTTCTGCACTCTCCGGATCTTTCAGGGGGTCTTGATGTCATGGGGGGGCGTGGCTGACACATCAGTGTTACTGAGTACGGATCCACACCTGGGACTACACTCCTCTTTTCTCTTCGGTCCTGGGTTGGGACTGTCACGATCTTCACGTTGCCCACAACTTCACATATTTCCTCCCCTGACTTTCCTGTCTGGACTTGGACTGCCTTGGACTTCACTCGAGTCTGGATTGGAGGCAGTACTTTCCGAGACTCTGATTTTCCTGTTTGAGTCTGGATTTGGACTGTCCTCATTGTCTTCTTCTGACCATTAATTGTAGGTGGAGGTAGTTTCACTCCCTCAGACTCATTATTACTTTTCAGAGCACTTTCATTTGTCAGTACCACTCTTTTTGTGACCAAAATCGGCTTCATTCGAAGAACCGATCCCTCAGACTCTCTTTTTAGCAATAACTTTGTTGAAGGTTGGTTCACTTTCTTAACCAATGGTGCAGCTTTACTCACTGTCTTGGCAAGATGCAGAGATGGCTGCTTCTTTACTTCTTTGCCGTCTTCAACCTGTTCCTGCACTTTTGTCTGCCTGAAATTCTGACAAGGCTCAACTCCCGACCTGGAGCCTGGTCCGTCCTGACAATGATCTTCTTTCCTGTTTACCTGGGCCAGCCGAGAAAGAACAATGCGGTTTTCACAAGCAGCTCTTTGGATGGCCCTCTCCACGGGCTCCTCGTATCCTTCCGGTCCCATCTTCTGTTGCTCTGTCTCCTCATTCTGACTTGAGTGGCGTTTATTCAGGATGCGACCATAGATGTGTGGTGACCTTTGCTGGTCCTTCCTACGCTCTGACTCCAGCTTTTCCTGGCGTCGCAACTCCGCCTGCTCCCGGATCAGGTTTATCTGCAGAAGTTGTTGTTCTCTCTTCTGCTTCTGGCTGCGCCCCACCTCAGGCAGAAGTTGTTGTTCTCTCTTCTGCTTCTGGCTGCGCCCCACCTCAGCACTCAACAACTCAGCTTCTTTGTGAGCCTGTTCCCGCTCTTCCTCTGTGGCATTTGTAGCCTCCTCTGTTGGGAGCTGCAGCACAGAGTTCTTCATCCATTTTTTCTCCATGTGCTGACGCATAACAGTCTCTGCAAGTGCACAGTCCTGGTTCTCCCGTTTTTGCAATCTTCTCCATTGCCATAGTCTTCTCGTCTCCATCTTTATCCTGCGGCGATTTAGTATTTGTTTCGTGTCCAAAAACGGTTAAAGCACAATTGGCACCAAACACAATATTAGTATATTTCAATTTTCTTCACACTCACATACTGATAGCCGGAATTTGTGATGATGTCATCCATTCCGTTCTCTTTATGACATTATCGCCATAGTAACCAGGTGCCATGGCGACAAGAAATTAAGGTGCAAACAAGAGCGTTGCTATGGTTACGTGATGTTGTTATATAAAATTCAACTCAAGTACTCTTCAAATTATTAGATTTTAGTTAGTTTGGAGAATGGAATAGCTAGCATGATCAAAACATATGAGAGCTACAGACTATGCTAATCTTTAAATCCAGCCCAATAAAGAAGTTTGCACAACAGATATTGAACGATCAGGGAAGAAATGTGGGCTTGAGCATGGGCTTGCATTAGAAAATTCTCTGTCCGAAACATTACTGATGTCTCTGATGGGGGTGTAACTATTTTAACCTCAATATTCAATGTATTGATTCTTTTCACTTACAATAGGCTACATTGATAGCTACAGGGCTGGTTTAATTCCAAGTCAAAGCTATTTGCTAAAAATGTTTAAAAAAAAGATTCTACATAGAAGTTGTACATTTTATTTTGTATATGATCTTTTATTTGATTAGATTTTTTGCATTTGATTTATCTAATTCAATCTTAGAAACAGAAATCAACTATGTAATTTACAGCAATGACATACTATACATAATAGAAACATGCATTCAGAAATACATGTAAGGGTTTTCAGCTTTCTATGTACTGTCAAAGCTCAAAAAGGAGTTAAACGTATATGGTCCCACCCTTAAATTCACCTTATACAGTTACACATTTGCTTTTCTCCGTCCTCAAGCACCTGAACGTGACTTGGCTGCAGATCTACGTCACACTATTTGAAATGATATCTTTGACAGGGTGGAGGAAAAGCAGACATTTAAGTGCAATAATTGTTTTATTTAATACGTTATTACAATTCAGTGTTTATCCAGAAGTGGAAATATGGAGCAAAATACAGGACTGGACGCGGCAGACATTAGCTTTGGATCCATTCCGAGACTTATACACTTTTCCTTTTTTTTGAGTTGTCTACAAACCACACTAATCGCTTTGCCTATAATCACTAACACTGCGTGACCAGAATTAAGTTTGAGGCAATTAAAGAATCTAATTATGGGTTCCTTTTTCTTGCACAAAACATCCACCTCGACTCCCAACAAACTGTTTAAACAAATACATGTTTTATTTCTTAGTTTATATGTAAGTCTTTTACACAGAAATACTGACGTCTTTAGTTGATCACATTAGATAGTATGTATTTCATGCCATTTAGATATTGGGTAATGCATGGTAATGAATCCCCAAGGTTAAATTATGATTAATTAGACTGGTTTATTTAATTTCCAATGGCAGACTGCTTGACATTTAACAAATCATAATTACTTAATTTTTTTCCCGTTTTCATATTTCCAGGGGACGCCAGCAGGATTTCTGCGCTATAGAGTCGACCACGATACTTACCCTTACTCCGCCAGCATTTTTGAGGTGGATGAGTACAAGGGGCAAGTGCTAACCCGGGTGAACCTCAACGAAGAGCCTAACTTCAAGTTCAGTGTGAGTATCCAAACACAATAATGACAGATTTTTTTCTTTTTAAATATATTCTCGAATGTGCTGTATAGAGGTTTATTGAAACAAGTAAGTAAGTAATTTTTGTTTATATACTGCCTTTTACAGACCAGAGTCACAAAGCGGTTTACAATTGTGAGCATTTGTCCTCTCACTCCACACAGAGAAGGGAGCGGGGTCGCCAGTACAAGGGGAGCATGCCAGACCTATTGTACATGTTTTTAGTGGTAGGGGAAACCGGAGTACCCAGAGGAAACCTACGCAGACACGGGGAGAACATGCAACGCACAAACAGAGCCAGAGGTTAACAAGGAAGTGTCCGGGTTCAGATGGTGGTCCTGGGGTCATCTTTAATTCAAGTTTGGATGATTGTTGTTGCTTTATTGGACTGTTGCGGTGAAGAGGAAGCAGCGTCTGCAGTCAGAGCTGTATCATGTGGTGGTGAAGAGGGACCTGAATCGAAAGGCAAAGCTCTCAATTTACCTGTCGATCTACGTCCCCTTTCTCACCTCTGGTCATGAGCTTTGGGTAATGACCGAAAGATCGTGGATACAACGGTTGAAATGAGCTTCCTCCGCAGAGTGGCTGGGCGCTCCCTTAGGGAGAGGGTGAGGAGCTCAGTCACACGAGAGGAGCTCGTAGTAGAGCCGCTGCTTCGGAGTAGAGCCAGTTGAAGTGGCTCGGGCATCTGTTCTGGATGCCTCCTGGACGCCTCCTTTGAGAGATGTACTGGTCATGTCCCACCGGGAGGAGGACCCGGGGAAGACCCAGGACACGCTGGAGGCACAGTCTCTCTCAGCTAGCCTGGTAAAGCTTCAGGATTCCACCTGATGAGCTGGAGGAAGTGTGTGTGGATGTGAAAGTCTGGGCATCTGTGCTTGGACGGATAAAGTATAAGCAAATGGATGGATGGATGATTGCACCACTCTCTGACACTTTTGAGGAAACATTTAAATACATGATTTATTAGACTGGCTTTAATTGTTCAAATTGGGCTCATGGCGTCTGCAGAACTAAATAAAATGTATTATTTTTATATATTCACTTTGGATTATTTATCCTGACAGAAAAAATTATTGAATTTGGAGCCAGTTTTTGGACCAGTTTCATGTGAGTAGGTCCAGTAATTGCGGAGATACCATGAATCAAATCCTTAAATCAGAAGCTATGGCAATTATTTCTTCCATAGAATACTTAACTGACCTCCTGCAAGGCGATTATTGTGATGCCACATCTCTGCAACATGTTCCTGTTCCTTTGAGGAAAGCAGGTTAACGCTACATCAAGTGTTATAGTTATTGATTTATTATGACTTATGGCCGAGACAGAGGTCACTGGTCAATAAAGGAGTGGTTTGTTCCGCTTTTGCTGATTTGGTTTGACCAACACGTGTTTGGACTTACAATAGAAAAGAGAAAACGCGCCTGCTTCTGTAAGCTGTTTTTAAATAAGTATATCTTGAGGGTTCAAAGGTTTTATTGATGTTTTCTCTGAGGTAGTTTGACACACGAAAAGGAGATTTAGCCAATACAAGGATGTCCATATCCACAGTTAAATGTCATGCAACAGTTTGCTCCAACATTTTACAACACAGCCCCAGACTGAGAACTGAAAACGAGTCAAGCAATCTCAGATGTAGCTATTGTTGTTTACTGTATCATGGATGATGTGAATTATTATGTAGCATGTTTGCTGCAATGATATCAATGTGTTAAAAGTTACATTACTACAGTATGTGTAAGACCAATCTATTAGAAAATGATCCAAAGAGTACAGACTGCAACTGTAAGGACTTGTAAATGGGTAAAATGTTTAGAAATGGGTTTAGGATCGTATAATGGTATAAATTGTCACATTTGTTTTAAATGTATTGTTTTTGGGGCCCCGTCTATAAGCTAATGCAGCTTCCTGGGAGTTCCCTTTTACAAAAAACCAACCAACTCTACATTATAAATGTGTATAACTTGTATGACTATAAGTTTTGTAAATAACAGAATTGAATTGAATTGAATAGGGGTCTCTTTAAAGGATCAGAACGTCTAGACCGGACTATTCACTTACACCATCCTCTGTTTATGATGTTTTTAACTTTATACTTTCACGGCCTTTAACCGTACTTTTTACTTGTTATGTAAGGCGACATAAGGTGATTGTCAGGAAAGGCCCCTAAAAAATAAAATGTATTATTATTATTACTATTAAGGGTGTTTTGAGGATTAATGTTTCCAAGCTGCGTACAGTCATTGCGGTTTACCGCCTTAACCACAGAACAACAGAAGTACAGATTGCCAAAAGTCTGGCACTTGAGCTTTAAAGTGAACAGAACTTTTATTTTAAGCCAGTTGGACACGCCCAGCCCCAATTTTGTCCAATCAGCTTCCTGATTAGACAAAATTAATTAAAATCCTTGAGGCCCCCTGTCATTGGTTTAACTCTTCTCCTCTAGCAAATCACACTTGTCGTAGTCATGCCAAGTGGAGAAACTGTTTTAAATTAGTTTTTTGTTATTGTTGGAATAAACTTACATAAATACTTAAATACAGTACATACTAGTTCAGTGTCTGATGGTCAAAAATATGGAATTAAATACAATTGAAGTTGCTGCCATCCCCTAATCAGATTTAGAGATAATTTAGAGAAAGCAGATATTCTTTCAGAGAACTGCATAGAGTAATGGCATGGATCACATTTGCATCAGTTCTACTTAGCACTCCATACGAATATGACGAAACATTGAACAACTGATGGGGTAAGTGAAAAAGTTCCCCCTGAGAGTTTAGTGCACTTTGTAAATACAGCATGCAGCACTCCTTAATGTTATTCCTAATCCATCACATCGATTGTGTTAACTCTGGCACCAGCACTGTAGTCGATAGAGACATCATTACAAGGAGAAGAAGAAAAAAACCACATTAATCTGAAGTGTCTGATCCATGTTTGAGATGTTATTGTCACGTGGGGAAGAAAAAAGGAATTCAAAGTCCAGGTCGGAAAATTATAAAAGCAATATAATAAAATCCAAATCCAAAAAACACCAAAGATTTGAAAAGACTAGAACAAATGGCAGAGGCAATGGACGTCGCAACTCCGGGATTGGCCTTAAAATGCTTTTTACTTTAGCTGAAATGTTATGCTTCACATCACAGCAGAAAGAAATCTCAATTTTCTCCTGTTCATGTGCACACGCTCAGAACACCAGGAATATCTTCAGATTCTCTTTTGCAAAATCGCTTACCTTGAGCGCTCGTTAGCATTCCGGCGGGTCGGGTTTCCAGTAGTTACCTTCCAATTAATCTCAAATAGGAAGTGAGTGAAAGTATTTGGACCAAAACGAGCCGAGCCAGACCTTCTTCATGACTGCAAATGCGTTCCTCCATCTGTATAAGTCCTTACTGTGCGGCCTTTCTGACTTTGACTTCATGCTTCCTCTGCTTGACGAACAGTTGGTGGTGGTTGCCTACGACGACGGCGTTCCCATAAAGAAGAGCTCGGCGTTGGTCGAGATCACGGTACTTCAGCCTTCAGTCATCCCGGTCTTCACACAGGAAGAATACAGGTAAATCTGCATTCAAGGACTTTTAATCGTACAGTATTTTCAGCATAGGTTCACACACTCTCCGATTCAAATACATGCACATGATACAGTAGAGCAAAGTACAGCGATATTTATAAAAATCTGTTTCAGTTGTGTTTTCTGAATTTACTGTCATTTACCTTTGAAGTTCATGTTACTCTATGATGTCTGCTTTTTGTGACTCTAGTCTGTTGTATTCGAATAAAGTCAGTGATGTTCTGGGAGCTAACCGTTCATAATACATGTGACATTTGAGTTTGATTAGTCAATATGAGGGACATGAATCGCAGTTTATGGCAGAATCGAACCACAATACTTGCTGTTTCACGATATGTTAGTAATCGCCATAATATTGGAATGTGGCCCAAATATCGTAATATTATCGAATTGTCACATTTTGGACTTTTCCCACCACTAACGCATACATCATTTAAACGTGTGTTACATGTGGGTGAATGATGACACTAAGAAGATGTTGGAATGAATGAGTGTGTTTTTGTAAGCTGCAGATTTACTCCGGCAGATAAGGGTTCTACTCAAATCCCTCGTTCACTTTTTTTAGATAAAGGTTTGTGGGCTTGAGTTGTTTTGTTTTTCTCGTAACTGAACCTGAAACTTATGTTGTTGAGTGAGTTGGTTTTGAAGCGACAAAAGAAAGCATTGTAAGAACATTTAAACAGCAAGAGTTCAGGGCATGCGAGGAAAAACCGACTTCTTTAACTTATTTGTTTTCTATTAGTTTGCAATAAAGAATAGATACGTTTAGAAATCAGAATAATTTGATACTGGCTCCATCCTTTTTCATTCTGTGGAGGCAGAAGGTGCGACGTCTGAGGGCTATGGCTCACAATGTTTGCTCAGTTAATTATATGTTGATTCCTGAAAATGTGTGCTTTGAATAAGAAATGACATCTACTTTAGAGAAAACCGTTTTAAGCAGGTGTTTCTCAGCCTCCAGGATCCTTGGCCTCTGCAGCACTTTAAAGATTCTAACGTGATCAAGTGCTGTTCCAATGAACCAAAGTGTTCCCATGTGTAGATTAACTGACAATCTTTGTTTTTGATTTAGGGTTATATTTCCAAGTTTTACGTGTTAAGCCATATGTTGATTTAAAGAAGAATGCTTTAAGCCTGGCCTTGAAGGTAGATTGCTTGGGTGGAGCTGATTCCACAGTATAAGAGCTTGGTAGCTAAACGCTTTATTTCTTTTTAATATAATGTTTGCGTTTTGATAAAGCATGTTTTAATCTGTTAATACCAGTTCTGATTCCAGCAGCTGTAAAGGTAATAACATTTGAGTGTGAATTTAGTTATTGGAGATAAAACTAGTCACATAGATTACCTTTCACAGTGTTGTTTTTGAAATCTTTTACAACAGTGATTGGGTAATTTGGTGGTTATTGTGCTGTCACGAATGTAGCTCGACTGACACACACCACTTTAGAGAAACACACACCGAGACACACATCTACAGTATTGTGCTTTATGACGGGTCAACACTGTAGTTGTCACAATAACATGTTTGTAAATGCAGATGTGTGTGTATACATTATTTTGTTTATTTTATAAATGGTACGTGCCCATTTCCTTGACTAGGACTTAAAGATGCAGTCAGGTGTGTCTGGGCATTCATGGTCTGCACACATGGTCTGCACACATGGTCTGCACACATGGTCTGCAAATGAAAGACACTGGAGCAACATAGATGTGCGGATCTTGTTTCATATTGTCACAAATTTTTCACATTTAAATTCTGTTTTTTCCTTGGAAATAAACAACTGATGCCACCAGGCAGAGTCAGTGTAGAAGTTGAGTGGCAGCTCTGCTCCCAAAACAAACGGAGATTCTCCAAAGATCCAAATGCAGCACCAAAACATCTCTGGGGCACGGATCATATAGTCGACAAAACTGTAAATATGTGGAGGCAGTTTTTCTGTTTACTCACTGTAGTCTCAAGAATAGTGTGTCTAATTATGTACTGTTTATGCAAGTAATGAATGTGAAAATCAACAGCTTGTGCAGTGGGCTGAGAGGCGGGGGTCAGACGTGTTAATTGAAGTTATCTGGTGCCTACAGCTGTTGTTATTAGTCTTTTATTCTCTGTACTGTTGCTGCTCGTGGATCCCCCTTCATCATTGTCTCTCACAGCACTACAGCTATGACATGGAATCATTTATAATACAATAATTCTGCAAATATGTCTTTAGGTTTGTTATTTGGGATTTCTCGGCCCATTTCTGGAAAACTGTCCAGATGAACTGATCCGATTCCAACACAGGAGACTATGAAGAGCTTTCACAAATGCCTGGCCATTACCTCAGATCAGGGCTTTCCAACCCTTTGAAAGCTACTTTTTTGGGACAACATTGGAAGAGAGCTACTCCTCTTTGACAATGTCTGTATCAGCTTTATTTGTATAGCACATTAATATCAACACCAGCTGCCCCAAAGTGCTTCACAAAGACGACAGAAAAAGAAACTAAAACGGCATTATACACACACACATTAATGTAAAATGTAAAACAGTGGGTTAGGGTTAGGGTGTGAGACAGTCGACACTGGATTAAGTCGTTTTTATCTTGATTAGAAAACATTTGGACATACTTACATTCTTAAAACAATGGAAAAACACCTTTAGTCTTATTTCCAGCACAGATAAAGCAATGTGTTGTTTGTTCTTTTGGCAAATCTTGTTTTAAGACCGTCAAAATCTTCTCTAATCAATTTATCCATTTTTATGTAATTATTTTGTTGGCATTTTTTTGTTGTGTTATATCCATAAAAAAATCTTTCATAACCATTTTCATATTTACTCATACAATTGTCTCTTTTCGGGAGTCACTTAAGAGGGTGGCGAGCTACCGGTAGCTTCCGAGCTATAGGTTGTAGACACATGCATTAGAGCAGTGTTTTTCAACCAGTGGGCCGTGGTACGTTAGTGTGCCTTAAGATGTTATCTGATGTGCCTTTGGAAATCATCAAGATCTTTTTAGTCATAATAATGTAGAAGATTAGAAAGACATTTTTGTGCTGGTTTGATTCTCTAAGACAGGACTTCCATGTGTTAACTCATTGACTGCCGTTGACGTATTTGTCTGAGACCCTCTACTCGACTGTGGATCACAGGACAATAAAAATAGCTAGAAACAAACTTATTTTTGCTGATGAAAGTAGACAATCCAGTCTTTCAGGATCTGGTTTCATATTTCACATAGTCTTAGGAAATCAGTCAATGAGTTCATCACGGCTGCAGAGTTTCATTTTTGTTTCAGTTTCAGCTGTTGTGCCACGACTCAAAAAGGTTGGGGAACACTGCATGAGATTAATCCAACCGAGAAGGTCACGGAGCAGAATAAGTGCTTAAGTAAATGTGCTCCTAAGACGCTATAGGGCAGTGTCTCCCAAAGTGGGGTCCGCGGCCCCCTGGTGGGCCGCGAGGGTACTGCAGGGGGGCCGCGGGAGGTCATAAAACAAAAATAATAATAATATAATTATTTAATGTTAAATTTATAATGTTTTGTTTGTAATATTAAAATATTTGTGTTCATTATTTGACTTGAATAATCCACTGTAATCATTTTTGTATTACAATGTTTGTAGCAGAGGCTATTTCCCCAAAATAAAATAACCAGAAGAGCCTATTCTTAATGTTGTCTTCTTGGTTATTATTTTGGGGGGCCACGCAGACCCGTCAGATTTTTAAGGGGGCCTCGGTGTTACTGAGTTTGGGAATGGCTGCTATAGGGGAACCCAGAAATAGCATCGATATTGTGCTTTACTCAGCCATCCCCCAGTTTAAAATAAAAATGCTTGGTGCTACGATAATTCCAATTGCATTAAATTCGATGCAATTTAGTCATACCACGTTCCATCCATTGTCACCGTACAATCAAATCGGTCACACCATCATCTACAAGTAATGAGTTTCTCTTTAAGCTGTGTCAAATTTAACAACAAAATCCCACACATTTTTACACTTGTGGACAGCAAAAGTCAAGCCTCGTCTTTCACAAGCTCCAAGTTAAAACCCAAAGCCTATTTTTAGGGAAAGGGTTAGAGGCAAAATAGATGGAGGCATGTCAGGCAGCTATATAATACTTCCTTTATGAATATGTAACATGGCTCTTGGCTAAACGTGTGCGCGAGCGTGGATTTCAACAGCACACATGCAGTTTGTGACTTAAAAGCACAGTGAAAACACAGTGGAAAAGGTACTTCTTATAAATCGCTTACATACATCCACCTTGTTTTGATTGGATTAGAAATTTGAAGTTTAGAATGAAAGTTTGCGACAGAAAAAAAGTATTTCAATGAGAACTGCTGAGGCTGTACATGTCATTCTGTAAATAGTAGCTAAGTAAGCTAGCTAAGAAACATATACTCATATTTTATATTTTGTGTGCTCCCTCTGGGCTCTTACTACTGTCCTGTCTGTACACTACAACATTGAAATCTCCCCCACTGTGGGACGCGGTAAGGTTCACATGGAAAAAAAAGAAAATAACATAAAATACACACAAACACATGTAAAAAGTAAAACAGTAAAATTACAAAAATTGTTAAAAGCCATGGTGTAAAAATTAGGACAACATTTTACCAAAATGTAACCTCCTGCACTATTATACGGGGCAGGCGGTTCCACAATTTAAAACAAAAGATAAGAAATCAAAGAAATTCTGCGATGTTTGAGATTTCATAAGGAAAGAAATATAGATGCATTTATAGACAGACAGAGAAGTGTTTTAGCTCCTTAGAGATCTCTGTCTCTTACAGATGCTCATGTGGCATTGACGGAGCACAGTGGAGTGTTCATTAAACAGGTCCAATGAGGTTTGTTGCCTAACGCTGCTTAATGAATTTGTCGGGTTTTGCTTCCAGCCAAAGGCAAAGCCATTACACCAGGAGCTATATTCAATATGTATACAGCTTTATTTCCCCACACACACACACACACACACCTGGTGCTGTTAGATGTTGACAAG